AATCTGAAGGCTCTTAAATAACAGAATCCTTAAGAACCTGCATGTTTCTTCACAGTTTCACTGTGGTATCTAGGGGTCTTGGTGGGCAATATGCTAAGCAAATGGTGCATGCTGGTGTCCATGGAGCACTTGGACTAGTTGTGCATGCAGAGCTGATACTACATTCAAGCTCATCAGAAGCTGCAATTAAATAAAATCTCTTCAAAACAAAAAATTATATGGCTCAAGTCAATGGATTTCTCCAACATAAAGAAGTAGTTCAGACACAGTAAACACTTCTGTTGCAGGACTCCAGAGTCCTCAGAGGCATTTTATGTTACTTAATCTCAATTAATCTCCCAAGAAAGCATTTCAGATCTGAGCAAGAGAGAGAAAAAAAGACATTGCTGATAACACACAAAAGCTTACTCTGATGTCATAATGCTGTATTACTTGAGTCATACAGAGATTTCCTGGAATTCTGACAATAAAGAGTATAGAAAGAAGACAGCTATCTGCTGTGACTCAGAGAAGTTACTTCAGATACTGAAGAAGTTGTTATTATGGCTCAAGTTAAGATTTCCCCACCTTAACAACGTATTCAGCTCTGAAATGTTCCCCATCTCAATTCTGCACCTACTGCAAACAGAGAATACAATAGTTCTGATGCTCTAACAGTAGCTTCTGGGTCACAAGATGGTCTTCTGCCCTTGCAGAGCAGAGAAGCAGAAAAAGAACACTCACCCACAAGTAATATTTTGCAACATGAAATCCAGCTGTTTAGTCTGTCTTGAGGAGCAGAGCAGATTGTACCACAGTCACACTGAGCACATGGGCTGTCACAGCCCCAGGTTCCCCTCGAGGACACAAAGGTCATCCCTGCAACACAAAACACAGATGTACAAAGCTTGCTGCCTTGCTGTGCGTGCTAGAACTTTTTGGACAAGAACTATGTGCTTTCCAAGACTACCTGCTCTGTGCCTGTAGTTTGAATTCTGATGAAAAAGAGTAAACAATTTTTGCAGTGAATTACATTATTCTATCTGTCATTCTATCATGTCTGTAATGAAGACATGTCTGCTTTCAGTCAGGGCAGTTATAAACCTGCCCTGCAGTGTCTTCTGTCATCATCTGTCACCTCAGGGCAAAGGGTGGGCAGCACTGCATCAAACAGCCAGGAAAAAAGGTCATATTCTGTGCTCCATCCCCCATGGTAACAGGCTGTCTTGCCACCAGACATCACTGGTCAGCACTGACTGAGGACTATAAAGCAACTTTGTCACAAGATATCCTGCACCTAACTCCCCATAATTAACAAATGGCTCTCTTCTTGTTATGCAGTTCATATGAATTACAGCATTAAGAATTGGTATATACATGAAGAAATAATGGGGAGAAATCACAAATTTAAGGTGGAAAAATAATTAAAAACCACCCATTCCATTCTGCCCAAAGGCTGCAAACCCTAACATCCTATTTTCCAGTGCATTTCAAGTGTTCCACAGCACATAATATCTGGTTTTGCCCCTACAAGACCAGTGTCCACACTAATGCCCCTCACTAGGAAGCTTTGTTTTGCTTTTTCTGTAACATTCTTAATTTCATATTACTTGTCAGACCCCTAGTTTATACTTAACAATCCATTCTCCTCCTGTGGGTTTGCATTCTTTCTATGTTTACTTTGTGTTCCCACTTCGTCCACTCACAGACCTGCCTTGGACGTAAAAGATTTACTCTACCTGAAACAATTGTTAATGACTCTGCCAGTAATCACCTCCAGAACTACTGGGACCAGTGACAGGTTGTCACTTTTGCTGCTGTAATAACCAGTCAGTACCAGAATGAAAGGAGTTCCTGTCAGGAAAGCCAAACACGTGCATTTCACTTCTGACAGGCAATCTCCTGTCTTTTGAAAGCATCCACAGCTCGTGAGAATTTATTCTTCAGTCTCAATGTAAATCAAGTACAAATGGTTTCCCTCACATCCCAGGGTCACATGGTTTCCAAACTCTAACCTGAATGATGTCCTGGCAAACTGTACAAGCAAAAGCAGCAGTTGCATTAACTGTGCCAGAGAACAAAACCAACGGTAGAAAATAAGTTCTTAGTATATCAAATTTCCCCATGTAAAATTATAAAAGAACCTGCAATAGCAGCTGATTTGTAAACAAGTTTAAAAAGCATAGTTGTGCAGTATCATCATAAAGAAGCTGAACGCAGATAGTGCAGAAGTCTGGATTTTCTCTGTCAGCAGATGAAATTCCCAGCTTGGGCAAGACACTTTGCTGGGCAAAGGCCACTTACACTGGGTTTCATTAGCACCAGCTGTACAGGTGAAGATTTTAAGGTAGGAAAAAAAGAACCCTTTGAAAGCAGCCGTATCTACAGAACCCGTTTGTAGGACAGAGGTAACTGCCCCCACCCACACGGACCTCCTCACGTTTTGTTACCATGTTTCTGTGAGGGAGCAGCTGTGCAAGGACACTAACAAACCCCTGCCCTTCCAACAGCACCCACCTAGCACAGCTAAGGTAATCTGAATCTCCCCAAGATTTTATTAGCTTTCATGCACAGAGGATTTAATTAGTCCTTTGCTCTAAAAGCCAGCTCTGGGTGTCACTTAAAAGCCACATCCATTCCACAATGGAATGACAGGAGGAATTACGAGTTCTCATTATGAAGCAAGCCTTGAGAAATTGAATTACTGAACTCTTAGGCATCATTAAGTACCTTTTCATCCTCCCTGCTGCTGCAAGAAAGAGTCCAAACGCCACCTTCTGCCGAACAGCTGGAACCACAACTAACAATTTCAGCAGCTGGTGAATTACTGCAGGGACAGCTATTCACACTCAAACCCGTATGGCTGGGCACCAGGAAAAGGTTTTCTCCCTAACCAGCTCAGTGTGTCACACCAGCCAGAACTGCTGCTCTTCTAGAAACGCACTCGGATGAACAGCTAAAGCTTGCTGCCCAAGTGGCACACACTAGGAACCTGGAAGGACATTTTGCCTGGATTTCAGCAAGAGTCCAAGGAGCACTGTGTACATCTTTGCAGAGGGGTCCATATTATAGAAATCTCATGGAGCATGTCAAGCATGTTGTAACAGTTTCCAGCCAGGAAAACAGCATGCAATACAACGTGGGCCCAAAACTCCCAACAGATGACCCTAAAGCCTAAAACCTGAGGGCAAAGTAGCACAGACACAATGAGTATTTCTGCTACTAGCAGAAAGATTCAGTCAGTAATGAATGAGCTTTTCAGCTGCCACTAACCGGGGAAGGCCCTCCACAGGCTCCTGTCAGGACTGGCCCTTTCTCATCCTTCTCCAAAAGGCCTTTCTTCTGTATATCTCAAGACCTGGTTTCTCCTCACTTTGAACCTCAAAAAGCATCAGCTTCTGCACCTCAGCTATCTGTTAAGCCAGGCAAGTATCTACCTTAGTGGAAAGGCACAAAGCCCAGTTAATAACGTGCAGACAGCTGCAAACTACTCAAGAATTTAAAAAAAGTCAGAAAAAGGGAAGGACGGCACCAAGAGAAACCGTCCTGCACAGCCAGAGAGTAAAGGAGCGTTCAGACCCCTTGTATCCAGCCTTTCCCAAAGCACCTCGTTTTGCTATAATTTCCCCTCCCGGCTGCAAACGAAGGCACTGCCCTGCAAGGCCCCCGGCGCGCGGGGAACCAGGGCACGGAGCAGCCCCAGGGGACGCCCCTGGGGCAGGAGGCCGAGACCCCGAGACCCCGGCCCCCCGACCGGTCCCGGCCCCCCCAGCAGCGCGGGCTCAGCCCAGGGGCACGGGCCCCGGGCGGCCCCGCCCCGCATACGTCACGGGGCACCCGCCAATCAGACGCCAAGGGCCCCGCGCGCCCGCTCCGATTGGCAGGCAC